AAAAAAAAAAAAAAAAAAGAAAGAAAAGAAAAGAAAGGAGGTGGGGAGGGGTAATAAATGCAGATAATACATTAAGTACAAAAAGACAAGGCTAGCTGAGTATAGTGGCACAGGCCTGTAATCTAGCAGCTTGGAAGGCTAAGGCAGGAGGATCAAGAGTCCAAAGCCTCAGCAACTTAGTGAGGCTGTCTCTAAATAAAATACAAAAAAGGGCTGGGGGAGTGGGTGTGTGGGTCAGTGGTTAAGCACCTTGAGTTCAATCCCCAGTACACACACACATACACACACACACACACACACACACACAAATAGTACCATGACTGGCCCCACCAGGGCTCCATATTCAAATGTTTAGTCTTTAATTCCATAGCATGTACTGATGTCTATGAGTAGTAAGTTATAGGAATAAAGACTTGATTAACAATGGGCTGGGGATACAGCTCAGTTGGTAGATTGCTTGTCTTGCATGCACAAGGCCCTAGTTCAATCCCCAGTAACACACACACACACACACACACACACACACACACACACACACACGAAAGACTTGATTAATAAGACTCCAATACTTCCTAGAGAAATCAGGGAGTCGGGGGCAGGCAGTGAGAGGAGCAGGGGGATGAACAGACACAAGGTATGTGAGGGGCTTGAGTCAGGGGCAGGGTGCAGTGGTTGAGGGGTAGAGCTGAGTATGGGCTCCATCACTTTCCTGCTGCTGTCCCTGGGGGGAACCACTTAAACCTCCTGAAGCCTGTCTCCCCACCTGGAAAAGGGGATAGTGTGACCTCACAGCATTGTGGTGGGATTCAAATAAGATAATGTGTGTGGAAGCACTTTCTCAAGTGCTAAGGGAGTTGTTGCTATTGTCATCATTAGCTCAGATGTTGCCTGACTGGTGCTCACTCGTGTAATGCTTCAACAGCTACCTGTGCTTACCCTCAGAGCCGAAGAGAAACTTCAGTGAAGGAGGCCTAGTCCAGGACAGCAGGCAACTAGGATGTACACACACACATACACACACAAACACACACACACACACTTTGCTTATACAAGTGATAAAATACCTTTAAAAAAAATCAGAAAATATGCCTGGCATGGTGGCATGTGCCTGTAGTCTCACCTACTCTGGAAGCTGAGGCAGGAGGATCACTTGAGTTCAGTTTAAGGCCAGCCTCAGCAATTTATACCCCTGTATAAATAAATAAAATAAGGTACACCAGTAGATATGTTTTTTAAAAATAAAAAATTAGACACCTTTAGAGGCTGGGCTGTGGCTCAGTGGTAGAGTGCTTGCCTAGAATGTGTGAGGCACTGGGTTCTATCCTCAGCACCACATAAAAACAAACAAACAAAAAAGGCATTCTGTCCATCTCCAACTACAAGAAAAAAAAAAAAAACCTTTATCCCACTAACCAGAAGTAACCATTGGTAAATTCTTGGAATCTGCCAAATATAGATACAGATATGCAGAAAAAGAGAAAGATCTGCACAGCATTTTGCAATCTGCTTTTCTCAGTAGACAAATATTGTGTGTGTGTGTGTGTGTGTATGTGTGTGTGTGTGTGTGTGTACATCCTATCTGGAAAACACTGTATAATGGGGGCAGGGGGTATGAACCCTGGGGTGCTCTACCACTGAGCCCTTTTTCTATTTTTATTTTGAGACAGGGTCTCACTAAATTATCAGGCTGACCTGGAATTTACAATCCTTCTCTCTCAGCCTCCCCAGTACCTGGGATTACAGGGCTGTGCCACTACACCTGGCTATTCCTGGGCAGCCTCACCTGGAGGAGCTCCCACGCACACATGGTAGGTACTTACACTAAGTACTGAGGATGGATTGCTCCCAGGACCAGACCACTGAGTCAGCCTTTTTTTTTTTTTTTAAATATCCCAGCCCCCAGAATTGAACCCAGGGGTTCTTTACCAATATGCTATATCCCCAGCCCTTTCTGTTTGTTTGTTTTGATACAGAGTCACACCAAATTTCTTAGGGCCTCCCCAATTTTTTTTATCTTTATTTTATTTATTTATTTTTTAGTGGTGCTTAGGATCGAACCCATGGCCTTGAACCCAGGGCCTCGCATGTGCTAGGCGAGTACTCTATCACTGAACCACAACCCCAGCCCAAGGCATCCCTAAATAGATGGGGTTGGCTTCCAATTTGCCATCCTCTCGCCTCAGCCTGAGTAGCTGGGATTAAAGGCAGGTCCCCCTGCCACTTTTTTTTGGGGGGGTACCCTAGATGGAACCGAGGGGTGCTTAACCACAGAGCCAAATCCCCAGCCCTTTTTTATTTTCAGACAGGGTCTCGCTAAATCACTGAGGCTGGCCTCAAATGCTCCTGCCTCCAGCCGCTTGGATTACAGGCGTGGGCCTCCACACGGGCTATTCCACATAATTGTTAATGACAGTTTAATATTCCACTTTTCGCGTGTGATTAACAGGTTTCCTTCATTTTTCATTTTCCCCCAAGATAAAGTTTGATGAATAAACTTGTGAGGCCACCTGTGTGCGCACCTGTGAGATTGCTGCTTACAGTCATTCCTGGGGACGTTATGGGTGCCTGTCCTTAGCTGCCAGGAGCCTCCAGGTGGCTCTTCCAGGACCCAGTACTTTCATCTCTCAGACCTGCCCTGAAGCCCAGGAAACTGCCCTGAAGGCCGCACCACACCGCCCGGGGCCTGGGAAGAGCACAAAGCCACCACGAGGCCAAGCCACCGGAAGCCGCCCCGCCCTCCCGCGGACATTCCTCCTGACAACGGCTGCCTCGGGAATCCCCGGAATGAGGAGGCCCGGGCCTCCCAAACCCACTCCCCTCCACCCCGCATCTATGCGTGCGCGCTCCAGGCCTGCAGCCCTGCGCCCTGCTCCCCACGCCCATCCCCAGCGCCCGGTCCTTGGCAGGCCCTGCTGCCTCTCGGGCGGCTACTCTCCGAATGTAAAATGGGGGGCTTGGGGTCAGTGGCTGCTGAATCCCCCACGGATCACAAACACGTAACAAACGTGAACAGGCTTTGGGGCCAGAGTGACCAGGTTGAAATCCGCATCTGCCCTAATTTACCTGTGAATTCAGTGCCCTGGGCACCAGCTTTCCCCCTAAAACTGGGTTGATATATACCAGCACCTTCTCATTGGCCAACCAGAGGCTAATCTGTCAAAATCTATGAATGGGGACCAGTGATTAACTCGGTCCAAAACCCAGCTGGACACCATCCCCAGTCCTTTCTCAAGCCCAGTGCAGATTTTGGCCCCTGGGCATTTGCCCAACCATTGGCCACACCAATGGAAGCTAAGAAGACCATCCCTCTGCAGGTTCCATAACCCCTCCTATTAGCCATGAAGTTGTGAATGGATAAACCCATAAAGAATTTGGGTGTCAAATAAAAGTTGAAAGGTAGGAAACCCATGTCAGGTCACATGTTCCTGTTTTTTATTTGGGAAACCAAGCATTTCTAAGGCAGCCAGCATTTGCTGAAAGTACTATTAAATTCACCTCACAATAGCTTGTACAATAAGAATACCATATTTCTTCCCATTAGGTGCCACCAATGTCAATAAGCACTGCTGCTTTATGTACCATGAGAAAGAAAAAACACTGCTGGTTAAACTGATAATGGTTTTTTATCACTTAAATTTTTTTTATTTTATATTTGCTGAAAAAGCTCTTAGACTTACATGGAAATTTTTAACATAAATTATTCTTGTACATATTTAACAAAGAAAATATAGGTGAAATAAATCACTTAAGGTGTTCTTAAAACTGTCAGCGTCTAATTCTTGGAATCACCTTTGAATTTTTAATATTTGTTTTTCAGTGGACACAACATCTTTGTTTGTATGTGGTGCTGAGGATCGAACCCTGCCACACGCATGCCAGGCAAGCATGCTACCACTTGAGCCACATCCCCAGCCCTTGGAATCACCTTTCAATTCTCAACCATCAATGTCTGTTTTTCCACACAATCATCATCTGGAATATCATCAGTATTGGTGATAGAACTCTTTTTTTTAATTGTTTAGATGGACACAATAACTTTATTTTATTTATTTATTTTTATTTTTTAGTTGTTGATAGACTTTTCTTTATTGGTACACAGTGCTGAGAATTGAACCAGTGCCTCACACACGCCAGGCAAGTGTTCTACCACTGAGCCACAACCCCAGCCTGAGAGAACATTGCTTAAGAATGCTCTGTTGAATTTATTATCTATTGCTGCATTAAAAAAAAAAAACTATCACAAATATTGGCAGTTTTAAGCCACAAAGCATTATTTCTCTTTACTCTGTAAGAGTCAGGAATCTGGGAATGTCTTAGCAGCATGGTTCTAGCTTATCATGGTCTCTTAGGAGGTTGTACTCAAGCTGTGTACCATGGGCATGGAGAATCCACTCCTAAGTTCACTGACATGGCTGTTGGCAGACCTCAGTTCCTAGTTGGTCATTGGCTGGATACTTCAGGTCCACACTATGAGGGCCTCTCTGTATACCTCCTGACTATCTTCACAACATGACAGCTGACCTCCTACACAGCAAAATAATCCAAGAGTATGAATGAGCATTCAAGACAGAAACCACAGCCTTTTGATAACCTAAGTGACGCATCATGATTTCTGCCTTATGGTATCAGACAGTCCAACTCCAGAATAATGTGGGAGAAGGCTGCACAAAGCTATAATAAAGAGCAGAGGTGAGGATCATCTGGGGCCATTTTGCAAGCTGCCCACCACTACCACTACTACTTCCAGGATTTCCTTTGGAGCCACACAGACATCATCCTGTCATGATACCGGGAATACCATCAGATTCTCACATTCAAGGACAGCCAAGTCACAGAGGCTATTTAGCTGACAGAGACTAAGATGCTGTTGATTCTATGATGTTTACTGATTTCAAAAATGTTAAATATGCTTCTTAGAATGGACTAAACAGGATGTCATATAAGAAATCCTAAGAAGTGGTGGTTTCTGAGCTAATTCAGAGACTCAATTCCATCTCTAAGGACCCAGGTTCCTTCTGTCTCTATATCCTAACACCCTCAGCACATTTTCTGTGTCCCTGGATGGTTTCCCTCATGCTTACAAAATGCTTGATGAGGTTCAAAGCAGTTTGTGTGCATCCAACAATTCCTCCCAGGTGCCTTCTTTGAAGAGCAACAAAATCTTGCCCAGATACATCCAGATTTTTCCCTCCTGTATAGTTGACCAGAAACCATACTCTGCCTCTTCTAATTAGAATTAAGTTTAGTTACATATGTTAGCTAAACTCAGTGTGATTTACATAAGACTGAAGAATGTTTTTTCTCACATAAAAGTCACATGTGACTTTTAAAAGGCAGGCAGTGCTAGTGTAGGGGCTCCATAATGTCAGTACCACCAAGGACCCAGATGCTACCCATTTCACATCATTTCATTCTCAAATTCATCTCTCACTCCAGAATGGCTGCTGGAGTTCCAGCCACCAGATCTATGTTGGAGACCAAAGTGAGCAAAAGAGGAAGGACAGGGGCTAGGGATGTGGCTCAAGCCGTAGCTCGCTCGCTTGGCATGCGTGCGGCCCAGGTTCGATCCTCAGCACCATATACAAACAAAGATGTGTCCACCAAAAACTAAAAAAATAAATATTAAAATTCTCTCTCTCTCTTAAAAAAAAAAAAAAGGAAGGACAAATGTTGGTCCTCAGCAGAATCAGCTTCCTTAAATGACCACCTCATATGTCCCACAGAACATATCTGTTTATATCTCATTGATCAGAACTTGATCACATGGCCAGACCTAGCTGTAAGAGATGACAGAAATATTTTTTAGCTAGGAATTTGGCCACCTTAAATAAAATCTGGTTCTTTAAGGAAGAAGAGAGGAGAATACATGTTAGGTGGCCACAGGTAGTGTCTTTCGTTGTTTTCATGCTTAAACCAATCCCTGGTTAGAGGGTAGGAGTACTAAGACTGTATCAATGTATCATGATCTATTCCTGAGTTGCACATAGGTTTCATTCATTGATGTGGGATCGAGGTGGGATCCTTGCACAAAATCTAAATTCTAGAAATGAGGAAGAAGCAGGCATAAAACAACAGCTATAGATAATTTACTAGCGACCATTGCCCTCGTTACTTGCTAACAAAACCTTGATCTTGCTGGGGACACCAGGCTGCCATGTTCTTCAGGAAAGCTACCACCATGCCAAGCTATAAAATGGGAATTCCAAAAGAATCCACAGCTCTTTAGATTACTCATTATGAAGTGATATGCATGCCCAGCTACTGCCACCAGAGTACTAACCACAGCTGACATGTGGGACCCTTTGAGTGTTCACTTACTCTCTAGTGCCTCAAACAGGATGTTCCCCTACAGAGGATTTCCACTCCTTATCCTTTTCTTTGACTCTGTCCCTCCCTTCCTTCCCCTCTCTATTCTGCCCCACCTTCCAGGAAGTCTTCCTTGACTAATGTCTCCCCATTCTGCCAAGTTCTCTATGGCCTCCCAGTAGGGTCTAACCTTCCAGCTTGGGCCTCTATTCAACCTGCCTCCATTACCCATGCCTCCAATACAGACCACAGGCTTTCTCCATTCCAGCGTTGATTAAGTTCAGACACAGGGATGCCTGCCTGGTAAGGGGAGGATGCCTGCCCTGGCCACTTCCCCACAGTCTGCTGGATGAAGGCTGGGAAAAGGGGGGCGGGGGTGAGAAGGAGGCCACCTGCCAGAGTGGCAGCAGACAGGCCAGCTAAATCCTTGACCTATGATTTAAGGGGTCGGGCATAGTTCAATAGAGCACTCCAGGCTTGAGTCCCAGCTCATTCACACAGGTCAGGGGGATGAAGGACTGGAGTGGAGGAGGGCCGTCCCCTCCAACAGCCCCTTGCTCTCAACCCTGGTCCTCTGGAGCATAACTCAGAACCCCCAAAACCCACAATCCCATCCTGATCTGTGCAGAAGCTGGAGGTGGGGGGCAAGACAGCAAGGAGGCCGAGCAGCTAGGTGGACTGGCTAGCGCAGCGCAGGGCAAAGGAATACAGTAATAGCTCAGTAAGGTTCCTGTCAGTAATAGCTGAGCATTTTGTTTGGTCTCGAGGCCAAAAACTCAAGTCCAATTTCCAGATGGGCCCTGGACACTACTTCTTCTTCTCCTTTGGAATTTTACCCTAGAACCGGGAGGCTCCTGAAGTGGCGGGATTGTGGATGGAATCCCCCAAGCAAAACGGAGAGGTTTTCCTGGCATCGCTTTAAACGCTAGCCAGACCCCACAGCAGAACCAAGCCGGTCCAGCTCCCAGTCCTCCGCCCTCCTCCACCTATCGGGGTCTCTGCACACACCGCCCAAGTTTGCCCACAGGCAGTGCTATGCAAATGAGACGCAAAGCAGGCGGAAGACAGCCGGGGGGATTGGCTGGCATGGAGACTTTGCTGCCCAATCACGTGCGGCGGACAGCCTGGGCTCCCCCGAGCCGGAGCCGGGCCCCGCCCATAAATCAACTCCGTCAGCGTTAATGGCTCCTGACTAATTGCCTGGACTCGGGCTCCAGGGCTGGAGTCACCCACATTAAAATTCAATCAGGCCCAGCGCTGAGCTATTAAATATTCATTGGGAACGCTTCCCGAAACCGCGCTGGGGGATGGGGTTGGAGGGACTACCCGTGTCCCCAGCTCTTAGGCCCAGCGCTCTCTCATCGCTTACAACTGCGACTGGATTTCCGTTCTGCTGGGCCCTGTTTCTCTCTGGAAGCCTCTGAACTTCCTCTTTGAAGACCACTGGGAGACTAGGCTACCCTGCAACAGGACTGTGTGATAAGTCCTGTCAAGGGGAGGCCCTAATTGCCTGCCCTGTCTTGGGTGCATGCCTGATCACTTAAACTCTGGACCACTACCTAGTGACTTCTGTGGGCCTCAGCCTTGGGTTCCACCAGGAGTGGAACAGCTGCAGGCACAGAAGACTTCCTCCTGAGCAGAGGTCAGGAGAGGCCCATAGGTCCCTGGCTCTGCTGCCTTTGCCAGCGGCTGGCCATCTTCACCATAGCTAGAGAGCACCAGTCTGGCAGCATATATCTGTGCTGGAAGGGAGGAGAGAGCACTGCAGTCTTTCTCTCCTCTCCCCTTCCCCCAGGAATGCAGCCTGTCCCAGCTCCTGGGCCCCTGGCCTGATGCTGAGCAGGCTGCCTGGAAGTTCTCATGAGGGGTACCAAGGGGGAGGAGGCTGGGCCAGAGGTGGGCACTGGAAGTGTCAGGCATTGAAGCAGAAAGTGCATCCATCCACATAGACACCCTACAGGCAGAGGGTGATGAAGAGGGTTTAGAGGATGTGATGACAGTGCCTAAACCCTGGGTGAGCCACTCGAAGACCAGAAGTTTTTCTAGCCCTCTGCTAGACTCCTTTTCACACAGCTGCAGTCCCTTGACCAGAAGGTTTGGGA